GCTGGAGAAAAAATAATTCATATTAGCAAAAACATAATCAAAAGGTTTTTTGGAACCATTGGAACTATCATGAAAATCTGCTGCTAGAAGTCCAAGGATGTTAGCTTTTACAGACAGGTTAAATCACTAAAGAGCCATTTTGCCAGGCCTCTGTTGCCTTCCATCGAAGCTCTGCAAGACAGCCAGTTCCAGGCATCACAGTTGACACAACGGTTAAACAAATAAATGGTTAAATAAGTGTTTTCCATATTATTCTGCACATCCCTGGTCCATCTCTTGGATACTGGTGGCCTGGAAGCAAGCTTCACACCAGAGACAGGAATAAGCACATTCCAGCTCATGGAACTGCTGCATAAGAAGGACATCGACCGGTTGGAGCGAGTCCAGAGGTGGCCACGAAGATGCTCCGAGGGCTGGAGCCCCTCTGCTATGGGGACAGGCTGACAGAGTTGGGCTTGTTCAGCCTGGAGAAGAGAAGGCTCCCGGGAGACCTTATAGCACCTTCCAGTACCTGAAGGGGCTACAAGGAAGCTGGGGGGGACTTTTTATAAGGGCCTGTAGTGACAGGACAAGGAGGAATGGGTTTAAATTGAAAGTGGGGAGGTTTAGATTGGGTATCAGGAAGAAATTCTTCCTGGAGAGGGTGGTGAGGCACTGGCACAGGTTGCCCAGCGAAGGTGTGGATGCCCCATCCCTGGAAGTGTTCAAGGCCAGGCTGGATGAGACTTTGAGCAACCTGGTCTAGTGGAAGGTGTCCCTGCCCATGGCAGGGGGGGTGGAACTAGATGGGCTGTAAGGGCCCTTCCAACCCAAACCATTCTGTGATTCTAGGTTAATAGTCTCTTACAGTAAATCAGAAAGAGAGGGAAAGGAAAACACTGTCCCAAGGCAGACGTGCCAGTGTGACAAAATTAATGTGGAGCTTCTCATTTCCCTAATGCCTTCAGGAGTGGCGTGGGTGAGAGAGAAAAGGTTTCGGAGGAGATGGTAACTGGGACGGGGATAACTCGCAGATGAGAAAGCAAGGGTGGCCACAGGGCCCAGCTCCCAGCAGGCAGTAGGAATTTGCCATGGCGATTTCTTTGTTCCCAGCCACTCCCATTTTATGCAGCAACCTGTTTAATATTAACCTCTGCTTCTGAGGCCTGGAGTGGGAAGTACCAGCAGCCAGCTCTCAGGGTCACTGCAGGCAGATGGGACTAGAAGGTCAACTAACGCTGCAGCAAGCAGGGGAGCGAGTTACACGCAGCGCCCACGGTTTCCTACAGAAACTGTCTCCAGCAGTTCTCCAGGGCTTTCTCTTGTCCCAGGCACCTACACACTGTGGTCCTGCACCCCTAGCCCCTAACACCATCATCGGCCATATATATCCCATTTCAGAAACATGCCGGGAACAGTGCGGCCAGCCTGCCTCTCCAAGCAAGCAGCTATCAAACTGGCCCGTTCGCTTCCTGGGCTAGCAAGCCTCAGTGGCTTTTCTAGTAGATGGGCTAAGCCCTTGAAAAGTGCTCATACAGGCTCGTATTGTCGTTGTAATAGACCCAGAAGACAAATCCAGAATCTGGGATGTGCAGAAGGCTGCAGGAGTGCCCGCAGAGAGCTGCTGGAGCCACCCTGTTTTGTGCCAGAGACCTACAGGTTGATACTTGAAAGTTGAGCTAGAAATCCAATAGGCTGTTTTTCCACTTAGTTTAAGGAGAAAAATAGCAAATCAAGCAACACACTCTTACCCCTGACTTACCTGATGTGGCAAACTGAACTGGATGCCCGCAGCATAAGATCATCTTGAGACCTCGAGAGTTGGAAACTGAATGACTGGCTTGATTACTAATCATCTTGCCCTCTAGCATGCCAAAATTTTGATAGCCCAGACAGGTTCCTACAGTACTGCAGTCTTTCCAAGTATATCTGTCAGAAAGTAAAATTATGCTGTTACCATTTGTGTATATTATTTTTTTTAATGTGATTTTACCTGCACATTTTCTTTTCAATACATCTGACTACCCACCCCCCCATGAAGAATGTACTATTCAATAAACTTCAGCATCCATTTATGGTATCTGAGCATGCAATTCGTCATTCCTGCAGTTAAATTCACTGCAGACCGCGTAGCAGAAGTCAGAGGTGGATTGTCTTTGTAACTCAGCAGACTTTATTTAACGCTTCCTTGAATGTGTTTGGTTGAAAAGGTTGGGAGGATGTAGAAAATAAGACAACATTCATTACTGCTGAGTTAAACAAAAGTTGCAGGAAACCTCTTTTGAAAGGGACAGGTGTAAAGTGCGAGTACTGCTTTAACAACCTATGTTGTACAGTTGCCTGATTAATGGATTGCAGTAAAATCCATTCCCTGACACTGATTACTTCAGTAATACACTTGCAATTACTTTAGCTAGTTTTATGTTATGCATGGAAGTTGCACAGAACCTTGTTTTGTCTTCTATCCCATAAATCAGTTCCTTCATGGGTAGCCATTTAAGTCTGATATCTTCTGTAGACTGTAACATTGAAACACGCACAATATCTGTTAGATCTCAAAGTATCCTGGCTTTTTTATGGAGGGACAAAAATTCATTAATTTCAAAGTCCTTCAAAGCCACCCTGAACCTGTTAGATTGTCTTTACAGGAGGAGACTGCGGTAGTTTTTCTCTGTGAACCCAGCTCGTGTCCTCGGTGTAGCCGGGCGCCCGCGTCGGCATACGGAGCGTCGCCACATCTGGCTTCAGACCTGCAGCGTTCCTCGCTGGGTAGAGCTCTTACCCTGGGAAAGAGCTTAACAGCTGCATCTGGAGAAGTTGTGGGGGAGGCATGAAACCAATTCCTCTGCTTTTTAGGAATAAAGGGCCTCAGTCTGCAGAGGCGTTGTTTTAGAGAGCTATGAATTCACTGATTTGAGAAAAAAAAAAATCTTAACAGCCAAGGAATCTGAGAAATGAGAGTCTTTAAAAGAGCGAGGGGAAAATCTGGCCCCGTGTGAACAAAAATAATCACAGAAGCTTTCCTTGCCCCACGGTGACATGGCCCCCCGCACCCCAGGCAGCGAGCAGTTGCCAGGCTCAGCTGCGCCTGTGGTTAATAATAAACGGGCTCTCCCCGGCTGCGCGCCCCTCTGCTGCTGCCCCCCCGCCTGCCTTCTCCAGCGCTGCCCCGCCACCGACCCACCCACCCCCCGCGCCCGACGGACGCCCAGAGGTAAGAGGGACGCCGGGCCGTTGCTCCGTGAGGTCGGATGCGCCGGATCGATCACGAGCGGTTTGGAGGAGGGAGGAAAGCCGCTCTACGCTAGAGCTGCCCCAAACTCGCACTCGGGATCTGCAAAGTTTCGTTACGAGGCGAAAGGTCGGACGGGCCTCGCTGCAAAACCTGCCAAGCTTCACAGATCTTCCAGCCGGCCCAGGCTGAGCGTTGGCTGCGTTTCCAGCGAACATCAGCTAATTCCTATTGGGCTTCAGGTGGTGACCAGCTGGTTTTTATCCACCGGCCAGCACGGCTTGGGCACTCCCGACTGCTGTGCTTCGGAGTTTGGGGGGGTTGTTAAAATTCAGAGCACAGCTCGAGCAGTTCAACCGAGCCTTGGCGCAGTCCTGTTTGCTTAATGAATTTATCCCAAAGCTGACTTTGCCCCGGAGAGCGAGGGGTGTGTACACACACGCACGGAGCCGTACCAGAACGTTTGCAGGAATCGATTGGGCTGCTGAGCTTCGCACCGTACAGGCAGAGGTTGTTAGCATGAATTAAAAGCTTGCACCACTTTTGTGTCATGATTCCATAAAGACTTTTGTCTTTAAAGGGATTTGGAAAGTGGAAAAAAACCTTGCAGTTTCTGTCAGGTGTGTATTGCTTCTTATGACAAAGTCTGACTCGGTGGCTTGACACATGTAGCAGAACTGGTCCTTCTTCCTGTGTTACAAGCTGTCCTGTATAGCTGAAGTCTTTAGATTTGGGCAAAAAAACCCTCTTCCTGGGTGTGAGATGGTTCTGCATCGCTGTTTTGTCACACGCTACTGAGATCACAGCCATGTTCTGCTGAATGTAACATGAACACAGTAGTGTATTCTAATTAATATACCATCTAAATTAACCATAGGTACAAAGGAATCATTTCCTCCTGGTGAAGGGGTGAGTAATAGAAAGGCTGGAGGGATATGGCCAAATGCCCAGGGAAAACATGTGAAGCAGCCAGTGAAGCTGCCCTGAGGCCCGGCTCAGACTAGCCTCTTACCCTTTACAGCTCTCCCCTCCTCTTTCTCTGTTTGGAAATGAATTTAATTAAAGTGAGTAGGAGTTGCTAAGAGACCAGAGGAGTTCTGGAGTTTGGTGCCGGGGCTGAATTGCCACTCTGCTTCCAAGGATTTGCACTAAGGATGATGGTGTAACATGAGCCTACATACAGCCTCCTGGCTCTAGGGAAAGCTGCTCTTTCCTCCGTCTAACTAACAGAGTTACCAGTCTGGTTTACCAGTTCTCAGCTCCTTTCTTTATTTTACTGAACTGCTTATTTCCTCCTAGGCACTGGCAAAACCCAAGTTAATCTCCTTGTAGCATTCCTCTGCCTTCATCCGCCCTGTAGATTTCTCCTTCTGGTCTTTGAGGTTGGAGGTGGTGGTGGCTGAGCCTGCAATTTGTCTTGAGCAAGTAGCTTTGGAAATTGGAAGGTTGTCTACTTCTAAACTCTCTCTAGTTCATTACTCCTCATCCGTTCCTCTGCTCCACCCCGATTTCAGCCCAGCACTGACAGTGCTTCTTCCAACTCCATTTCTGCAGCTTAACATTTTGCTTTGACACCCTGGCTCATGCCTGAAATGCCAGGAGTCTCCAGGCCATCTCCTGGGCAAGGCCTGTTTACCTTCCAAGGTCAAGGCAAAAGATGATACATTTCACTTTACGTGGTCACATCACTGCTAATTACTAAATTACCAAATTAATTAATTGCTAAATTACTTTTTAGTAATTCCTTTTACCTTACTTCTGTTCACTCAGAACCATCCGTATACGCAAGATGATTAGGAAGGTAACCTATAGCCTGGGAAGACGTGTGTCCGCTGTGGCATGTGGGACCACCCAGGTGAGAAGATTTCTCCATGGTGAGTAGCATATTCTGGAACAGTTCCTGGCTGGAAATCAATTTCTTCATCAGAATGCAGCAGGGTCCTTGTTGGCAGTGTACTGGGAACAAAGCAAAGAGCAACAGTAGTCTTGATGGACTATAGTCTTGCAATATATTGAGTTACTATGGTATCCTTGGTGTTTCCACTCTTAAAACATATTCTTTGGGCATGGTGCAGGGCTCAGTTTTTTCGCAGTAATGTTCATTTAAAGTAATGTTACTGAAGCCAGTGACAACACAGCTGCCAAAATGGTGGCAGAGGAAAACTGAGTGGTGATGAGGATTATTATTCATATTAACAGTAGAGATATTTTGCAAATATTTCACTTACATAAACCACAGTTTTAGTCTTCAGGAAGTTATTTGTGAATTCACCCCAAAGAACAGCTGAAGAGGGGGATAGATTTATTGTGACAATGTTAATTTGCCTTTTATAAAATAGCTCAGTAGTTACTGCAAATACCCACACAAATAATTCACTTTTCTGTGTTTATCCCCAGATGCTTATGTCAGGATTCAGCCCTCCGTACAAGAAGCCCTGGTGGAGGGGAGACCAGTTGTAGCCTTGGAAAGCACTATCATTACCCATGGCATGGCCTATCCTCAGAATCTGAGGTGATGGATTTTGGTGTTCTTCGTTCAGCAACCTTGTAAGAATGAGACATATAACTGGTGGGTCAGTATCAGGATTCTTGGTCAAGCCAAATCCCTTGTAAGAGCAAACGGAAATGTCAGGTTGCTAGGCATGCAGAATATGAGCTCCGGTGTAAAACAATTGTATTTTTACTTCTAAGGTCCCATATGGTGTACCCATTTATCCAACACCTTAAATTTTGGATTTCCTTTAAAATGTGGCAGCAGACAATGTCATCACTTGCTCTGAGAGAGCTACCAGCCTTTTCAGCTTGTCCGGACATTGAAAACACTCTGCAGTTTCTTTTGGTATATCTTTTGTAATGCAAAGAGGGTTGGAACACAATAGTGAAATCTGTTCCTTAGCACCACTCAGAGCAGCTACTGTGAGAACCACTGGTCCCTCACTGCCTTCTGTACCCTTTACAGAAAACCCCCCTCTCCACCATTTATTTATTGATGTTCAGTAGGCTTGCATTTCATTGAGTTACAGTGCCAGAAATCACTGCGCTTTCCCCTCCATCCTTGCTTCCAGAAAGCACAGGAAGGCTTCAGTACTGATTTTCCATCTTGCTTTTTACCTGACCATTATTCTGCCTGGCATTCTGTCTTAGAATGAAGCTCTAAAAACTCGGGTTTGGAGAGGAGGTAGTTACAGTAGTTGAAGATTGCCTAGAGTATGTACAGATAGCTCAGAAAGTGAAAAGATGCTGGTCCTAAAAAGGATAGTGTATGAATGATAAAATATTAAACCTGCAGAGCTTAGAAAGAACTAGCCTGCAGGCCTAGAGTATCCTCAGGCTGTGGCCTTTTGGCAGTATTGTTACTCTATATCTAACTGCCTGTATTGTGAAAAATATATCCTGGTCATTTGAGCAGGGCTTGAATTACCTGGGGTTTCTGCGAAGGTCTGATCTCAGAGAAATAACAGGTAATAGATATAGAAAGGTCCTTTTTGGGGAAGATCCCTATTTTCAGTAGTCTATTGTACAACCAGATTTGCCTGCAAACTGAGTGAATTTTCTCCAAAATGAAGCACAGAGCTTGGACATTGCTGTCCTGAAAAGGAGCTTTACGCTTCTGGAAATTCAAGTGCAAAGACTTCTGCCATTAGGGAGATACAGAAGAGGAACTGGACTTACCTGAAATCAAAAGAACTGTATGAAACTGGGAACAATGGCCATCAAACATGGCAGTTTTCTTGCCTGATTATTTGCCTCACTAATTTTCTGATGGTTGTCTTGTTTATGTTATTCTAGCATGGCCAGAGAAGTGGAAGAAATTGTAACAAGAAACGGAGCAGTACCAGCCACTGTCGGTATTTTAAGGGGTCAAATACACGTGGGACTCACAGACAAGGAGCTTGAGTTCTTGGCAAGCAGTAAAAATGTAGTTAAAGTGTCCCGGAGAGATCTTCCCTTCGTCCTCAGCCAGGTATGGTGTGCAGGCTTTCTACTGTGGTGTTTTCTATACAGCAGCAGCATGGTGCTCTCCAGCTTCAAGCCAGGTTTATTTTCAAGAGGTTTAAAACCATCATGTAAAGTGGTATCTTATTGGTAAGCTCAAACATGGTCCTATCTAGAGTCAAAATACAACAGAGTAAAGGAATAGCAGCCATGAAATAGGGCTCCTGAAATGTCATTCTGCATTGGCTGGCAAGCCATGAGCACTGGCACGAAAAGTCATCGTCGCGTTACGCATAAACTGTGACACACAGGCTGTCCTGAGATGAAGGTGACAGCTTAAGGTGACATTAGCTATCTGTGAAGCCTTCTGGTTGGAAAGCCCTGGAGAACAAAGGCCTTTGCTATCATCAGGGCAAGAACGGCTTACGTAGCAGGGACGATGATTCCTCTGCGGTTTTGCCTAATAGAATATTTGTATCAGAATTTCACTTGTCAGCTGGTGTGAGCAGACTGTTGTGACATTGCTGCATGTCAGACCACAACCATAGCTGCCCGCCTGTGGCATTTTCTGTGTCACCCTGGGTGCTGACTGTGACTGGCTGTCCCCTGGCAGGGCTTGTCCGGTGGCACTACCGTGTCTGGAACAATGATTGCGGCACACAAAGCAGGAATCCCCGTGTTTGTGACGGGCGGCATAGGAGGCGTCCATCGGGGAGGAGAGAACAGTAAGAAAATCAATACATTCTACTTTTCTCTATGTTGCTACTGTTTTGTTTAATTCTGTCTTTCTCCAAGCCTGTCCTGCAGTAACTGTTCAGAAGGAGAAAGTTATCATTCTTCTTCACCAGACTGTTTTTTTTCTCCCTGGTGTGTCCTTTCCAAAAGCTTCAAAATATTCCCCTTGAGCACTGGCCAGTTGTTAAGATGGTGGGAGTTTCTCTTTATCCTTTGCTTACACCGGGTTATATGGGTATTGTTTTCTGGTGTGACAGGAGTTGACTGTACCTCTCCTACTGGTACTGGCTGGATAACCTGATACTGGCTGCTGAGCACAGTGGTTATTGACTCTCAGCTGAGGAGAAGGAGAGTCTCACCACAGAACAGGCTTAGGCCCTGGTCCACGTTAGGGGTGCATGCTCCTCTCTGGAAAATGGCCCAGCCTTTACAGTGTACCTTGTGACCTTTAAGTACGTTCTTTCTCCTTAGCCATATATATTCCTAGCACAGCTTAAGTGCACTGCCCTGATAGATGCCATCCTTTTCAAATGTGATGTAAATTCCAGGGCAGGAAGTTTCCTAAGGTCAGGAATGCTCCTGTGGCACATTTTTTTGCCAGTGATGTCAATAACACAATCAAAATCGACTTACATTATGTTCTATCTCCTTGAACTTTGTCTTTGCTGTACAACACCACCTTTCTTTTCTATCCAATTTTTGCATGCTGTTTATTGATGTGATCAAAGAGCCAAAAGATACAGTGCAAGGCTGCACCTCTGCCCTAAGCCATGCAACGTCTTTCTGTTGGTATCCCTTTCAATCTCAACACCTAAAGGCATGATCTAAACCTGTAATATTTGTTTGTGGATCTAAGTGGTTACAAAAGCAGGCAGCGGCATCCGAGGCAGATATGGCTTTTTAAGAGGGCTGGTCCCATCAGCTTGGAGTACAACGCAATCACTGATACAATGGCTGCTTGTCCCTTGACAGCTCTGGATGTGAGTGCTGACTTGACAGAGCTAGGACGAACTCCGGTTGCTGTTGTATCTGCAGGAGTCAAGTCTATCCTTGATATTGGCAGGACACTGGAATATTTGGTAGGTAGCATGGGCTGCTGAGCTTAAAGCAAATAATGTTGTACTTTGTGTATAAAATGCCCAGCGATGCTGGGGTAAGTATTAAGCCTAAGATTTTTAGAAATTACTACTGGGAGGACATGAAGTCATATTTACAGTTCTGTAGTCCTGGGGCTGTGCAAGCACTGGGCTGCTCCCCAGCATAGATCTACCCATGCCTGAGGGGCTGTTCCAGCAGCTGTTCCAGCTGAGGCCAAAGGCAGCACTAGCTGTGCCCTCTTTCTCTGTCCTTAGACTTGCTTTTCTGGGACACTGCTCCAGAATCAATGGATCAGGCAAGCTAGATCCATGAAACACTAAAATAAATTTAGAATTAAAATAGGTATCAAGATGTTTTTTAGAAGAGTCACTTTTTAAGGTATGGTGTATTGGAAACCACCAGGGCCAGCACTTCAGGTGATGACCAACATCACGCTTCTCAACCGCAAACAGAACTCGTTTATACTCCTGTCACCTCACGACGTATGTCAGATCACACGTCGTTACCTTGGCCTGAGTATTGCGCTAATGACAGCTGCGTGGCTTTTAATCAGCTCCGAGCATGAGCAAAGGGCTTGTGCATCTCCTGTGTCGCAGAGAGCGAGACTCTGTCTAACCAGTTACCATGTCTGGCTCTTTGCTTTGAAAAATGTTGGTGATAAATTGGAATAGAACGGGATGTCTAAAAATAACTAAACCCTAAAGAAAGGCAGTTTCTAACTGGGTAGAAGGAAGAAGTCACATTATTTTGGTGGGTCCCCTTTCCCTCCACTGATTACCTGCTTGTCCACTGCTGCAGGAGACTCAGGGAGTCTGCGTGGCTGCCTTTGGGGAGTCGAGGGAGTTCCCAGCCTTCTTCTCACGCCAGAGTGGCTTCCAGGCACCATATCACGTCCGGGATGAAGAGGAGGCAGCTGAACTCATCGGTGTGTTTCAGAAAGGAAAGGCCCATGTAGGGTTCTGGGAAAAAGGGACACAAAAATCACCTTGGATGGGGCACTTTCTTTTTTAATTTCGGAGAAGAGTTTGTCCCAAAAAACAAGCCATCCCACCAAAAGTGCCTTAAAAATAAAGCAGCAGGGAAGTTCAGTCTTTACAGCAAGCCATTAGCTAGCTGCGGCCACCACAGCATGCTCATACGTGTTTTGTTCATACTGGTGAAGTGGAGGAAATGCGTATGTTGATATGTTTACAAAAACAGCTTCTGGGCCTTCAGAAGTGGAATCACTTTTCTTTTTAAAAAAAAAAAATCTTCGCCCCGTTTATTGTACAGACAAACTCAAAAGCAGCAAGCAGATGTGAACGGATTGGTAGCTGGAAAAGACCCTGTCCTTGGGTCAGCTAAGAACAGGAGCTTCAGGTTCCTTCACCCCACGCCCACTCTCCTCTATCCTTTTCCTTCAGCATTTGATTTATCCAAGGAGAACTGCTAATGATCTGCCTGTCCTCTCCCAGCCAGTGCTCTGGGGCTAGGCCTGAGCAGCGGGGTGCTGATAGCAGTGCCCTGTCCCCAGGAGCGAGCTGCCTCCGGCCAGGCCTTGGAAGAGGCCATCCAGCGAGTGCTCAGCGAAGCCAGGTGAGAAGCAACCCAAGCCCTGTCCTTCACTCACCCAGCGCTCCTGGGGAAACACTTCAGGGACACTGCTGCAGGGGCTGTAGCACAGCTTAACCTTGGGCATGGATGAGCCCACAACATGCTTTCAACTCTATTTTTATCTAACCTGAAGCTTGTTTACAGGACTTTTTATGGTATGTGGTTATGGAGATAAATTATCTGCTAGCAGCAGTGCTTCTCCTCTGATGTTGTTTCAGCTCAGTCTTTCTCATCTACAGGCATTTTCTTTACATTTGCAGATCCAAGGGGATCGCAGGCAAAGAACTGACCCCTTTTATGTTACAGAAGCTCAATGAATTAACTGATGGGAAATCGCTGGACTCTAGTATCCTTTTACTGAATGGGGGGGAAAAATACTCCAGTGTACTTCACGTCTCTTCTGACAATGCTTGGTGGAAAACACTCCCTTTATTGACAGTCTAGCAAGGGGCAAACACTTCAGTATCTGTGAACAAATGAGAGCTTAGCAACTGCATCCTACTTGTTCAGGAGCACCCTCACTCTCCTCATCCACTTTTACATTAAAAATTGGAGGCCAGCACAGACAGCAGGTGGTCCAGAGCCCAAAGAGATCCCTCACATCTGATCCCTGAGCTTGCCTGTTCCATGGAGTCTTGGGAAACTGTTGTCCGTGGTGGGACTGCACGCTGGAAGGTACCTGGGCTTCCCAGAGCACAGTGCTGTACATCACACAGTCTTAGCCACTTCTTCATGCAGGTGCAGAGTAAAAGAACCTTGGAAGAAAAACACCCCTGGGTGAGCAGAAATTCTCTTGCACAGTCTAGAGAAAAGCAGATCTACTGGCTGGGATGCCAGTGTAGGATCTGGGAGAGCTGGATTCACATCCAGGCTTCACTGCCAGCCCTCCAGGACACCTGGTCAGTCAAGGCAGACCAGTAAAAGTATTTTTGGATATTAGAGCTGTATGCAAAGTGAGGCTGTCAAAGCCTCTGATATTCTGTTGAAATGGCTAAAAAAATTTGGTTATAGAGATTTTGCAAAAATCTCAATAGGCATCTCTTTCTGGAAAAGCTGGCCAAGATCCTCCGAGGTTTTTAGACTCCTGGCTCTAGTCTAAGCACTTCACCTTCTTCTTGCTCTGTGAAGCCGTTGCTTCTGTTCCCTATCTGTCAGATGGAGACGACAGATGTTCTCTCCTGGACACAGGGGGAGGAAGATGAAAAAATTTAAAAATTCAGGGTGTTCATGCAGTATCATAACCCAGTATATATGCCTCTCAAAGGATTATGGTATAGTGGGATGGAATCTATCAAGTCTCACAGCATGCACTTTCTGCTTTCTCCCTCCAGGCAGTCTCTGTGCAGGCTTCTAACCGGGCAATCGTGCTGGTATTCTTTATTTTCCTCAAAGAAATGTCAAACAGACCTTGCTCTGATCCAGAACAATGCCAAAGTGGGCAGCTGCATTGCAGTGGCCCTGAGCAAACTACAGAAAGCCAGAAGGAAGGGGAACCTGCCTCGGCAAGAGGACACAACCCCACCTCAGCCAGTGAGTCCCCTGCTGCCCTCCATATAATGCCTCTCTGCTGACAGCACAGGACACATTTATATCTGTTCCCAAAAGTAAAAGGTGACGCAGCAAGACACCAATCTTTCTGCTTCACACTGGCAGACATTCTCTCTGTAGTATTTTTTTTTTCTTTTCAGATAAATAGCCTCTCCTCCTCCCCCTATCCACATTTACAGGGAATAAACACTGACAGCGCTATAATCCCATTAAGTCTTAGATCATCAAATCCATTAAAACTTTAATCATCTTTTACTGTGCCCTTATGTACAACTTCAACTCTATTGCTCTTGGTGCCAGGGAACTTGTGACTACAGGAGTAGACCTGGAAGAGGGTGGAGGGAGATATTTTGAGCTGCTGAGCCATACACGTTTTATAAATATCTCTTTCTGTTGGCCCCCTGCTCATGATTGCCAAAATTACACGAGGTACAGCATAGCCCAAACCAGATCCATTATAACCCTAATACTCTATTCACTATCTTGGATTCCGTGTGTGCCACATAATTTACTGGAAGTCTATATTAGGTAGTCTTCAGAGAGATGAAAAATTTTCTAAACCCCATTTGAAATAGGATTTGTCAACATAAAAGAGGGCAGTGACTCCTGAGGCAATAACCCAGCATTTGATGGAATGAGAAAAAACTGCTGCATGTCCCCAAAGAATCTGGAAACTTCCTGTTTGTGGAGCTGTACTGCTTTGTAGGACAATAAGACAGTGATCCGTAAAGTGTCACTGGGTATGGCAATTTCTCCTGGGAGCTTGCAAGAAATGACTGCATTTTTCTGCCCACTTTTCCCCATTTTCTTTGCCTCTTTTTTTTTTTTTTTTTTTTTAAACACAGCTGTGCTTGAACGCTTCTGAGGTTGGTATGTCAGGAATTGTCCCAAGAGATGGCGTCAAGGGCACTGACATGAGCAGACCCATGCAGCTTCTTATATTATCACCGAACAGAGGAACCACCAGCACCTATATGTGTGCGCAATAACATCCTCCCTGCCATGCTGGGGCTGCCTAGGAGCGGACATAATTCAGAAAGCACCACATAGAAGAGGTTTATATTCTTTCTGTTTGGGGTTACACAGACCTGTGTCTGGCCATCCAAAATAAGCACAGGCCTTCACACTCTGAATTAAAATACAAGAGGGTGGGAAAACTCACTAGGAAAAGCAAAGACAACTTGGAACCTTTTTCCTCAATTCCTTCCAACCAATATTTTACCTCTTTTTTTCCTCTTAAAGGTGGTGATTGGAGGTGTCAACGTTGACTTTATAGCCAAGGTGCAGAACCCTGTCATCCTGGTACTGTATCTAGAGCCGCTCTCTCCACACCACTGCCATTTCCATCTACGTTTGCAGGAGTGCCTAGCCAAAGGGAGGTGGGGGTTAAGGTGCTATCCACACCTGAGACCCACACGTCCGTATGCGCACACCTGCACAGGTTTGGGAGGCGCAGTGCTGTGTATTTGGCGCGCTGTCTAGGTGGGCAGTGGAGTGATACCTGTTGACCTACTCTGTTCCCGTGCTGAAGGTCACTATTCCCACCACTCAAGACAGGGACAGAGCAGTGTGTCATCCTTACAATCATGACTCTGGCCTCTACAGTCTGTCTTAAAGTGCCTTGGGGCTATTTTCTGATGCCATAAGCCCAGAGCTCTTTTAGCAGAGGAGCTCTGCCCAGGGCACTCTCGAAGCACACATGCAAAGAGCTAGGACCAATGGGTAAAGACCCTCACTGTGCTATGACAACCTGTAATTCGAGGACAGACCCTACAGGGAGGAAATTCCTCGGTAAAAACCAGCTCTGGTCACCTGGGACTGTCTTAGCTATGGAAAGCAGCATGAACAGGAGCAAGAGTGTCCATGCAGAGTACCAACAGTGGTACAAAACCTTTGAGAAAATTGGTACTGACACAGTTACAGCTAAACAGGAGAGCCACCTTCCTCAGTCATAAAGGATTTGAGTCACACACACACAAATCCTTAAAAAAAAATGGAACAGTTTAAATGTTACCAGACCCTCTCCCTCTCAATTTGTTTTAAACAAGAAACAACCAAGAAGCTGGAAGTGGAATAGTCCTGGGACTTCCCCAGGCAAATGACAGCCACATGCATCGTCTATACAATTTATGTTGAACTATATGAATGCCACACATGAGTTTAGACCTCTTAAAAGATCACGGATATTGGAGGGAAAAGTGATTTTAATATGAATTTGTAGAAAATGCTACTTAACAGAATTCAGTGGCAAGGTCCACTCTATCACTTATTCGACATGGAAAAAGCATACAAAAATGAAATCAAATTAACATCAGGTTAGAATGATTTAGACATGGATCGGGGAAAATTATTTACGTGGGGTCAGGGAAATTGAGTCAGAATTGGGTTGGTGTGATTTCTGCAAGGGTTAGGGAATGAAGGCAAGGGAAACATTCCCACTGAGTCACGAAGTTCAGAGTGGACTGCCTTGCTTTCTAAACTCCTTCTCAGAGGGGAGCCTAGGTGTGACTGAATCCACTCCTAGTCCTGGACTTGATCAATGGTTTATGTCTGAAGGGATTAGGTTCAGGTATGCCAGTGCGCTGATTTAACATATGATTTGTGTTTTCTATAACTTTGGAATAGCAGCAAGTTAAGGTTCATTAACACTATTAAGATAAATCAGAACATTAGATTAAGTAAATTAATTATGAATGAATCAATGCAAAAATGTAGTTAAGGACTTAAAGTTTTAAAATCAAATTGCACGCACACACGCACACAGATTAGAGATATAGAGATATATATACACAAAGGTATATTATACCTGTTAGAATTTCCCAATCTTCAACCTTAGCTACACAGGAGTGCTTGGTATGGTCAAGGGATGCTTAACTGCCAAACTCACTGCACAAAGGCCAAGGCTTGACGTGAATTTTTAAGGCTGTAGAATGGTCCAGGATCTGGGAGAGGGGAGGGAAATGCACCACCACAATGAAGTACTACAGACTGAGGTGGTGAAACTTGATCAAAAGTTGTTTGGCACCTCAAATTACTCTGTGCTGATTGCAGAGGCAGGAAACATCAGATGGGGCAGCCAGTGGAGACCTCTCAGAGAGGGAAAACCATGCGGGGGAAGCTGTCCTTAAGGAAGTTTTCTGATCAGTGACACAGAGGACAAACAGTGTTACAATGGTCAAGGGTAGCACATGCTGTGGCATCAGCTGTGAAGGCTTGCAAACCCAAAAGTTCAGCTGCTTCAGCTGTAATCTAACTGATAAAACAGATACCTCACACTCCGCTGTCAGGACAAGGAGCTAAGTTTGGTGGGCAGCCACCCCTTGGCACGTCAGACGTGAGTGCAGATCCCTTGAGCACCCACAGCATAGGGAGGGCCCAAGGGCAGCTGTAGACTCCAGCAGGAACAGCTGATGGGGGAAAAGGAAAAAAGAGATTTTTAATGCTGCATGAAAAAGCGAGGCTTTAGCTGCCCTTCTGTGTAACAGCGAGCTCTAGAGCTGATGGTCCGTTGTGGCAGCTACCCAAGTGGCAAGCTGCAGGAGGATTTGGGAACTGACAGCCACAACATCCTGCTGACAGCTGCTGTGGTTAGGCACAAAGGAAAAGGCACTCTCAACAGCACTGCTTTGTTTTGGCTTTTAAAGACAGATTTTTCCAGAGGGCTCAGCACCCAGCAGGTCCCACCCTTATGGATGCTGGATTTGTTGCCAAGCACTGGGGTACCATTCATCCCTCATGCTGTCTTAGCAAGGAACCGGCTGAATTCTGTCCTGGCTGTAACTCCCATACGGCTTTCAAGGTTATCCAGAAGCAAAGTGCTTTGTGAGTAACTAACTGACCTGCAGAGAAAGGTGCACGGTCTTGCTCAGAGAAAGCATTATGGTGCTAACCAGGACACCCAGAGGTTGAGCCGAGTCTTATTTTTACATTAAGAACTTAAGCCACTTCAGACATGGAAGAAGGTCCCAGAAGCTCTCTCAATTCTCTGAAATGTTGCCAGAAAGCATCTGCCCAGTCTTATTTTGAATGATCTCAGCAAGCCCTTTTTCATCTAAGTCCTTTCATCTCGGCCAGCCCCACCTGCACACGATGTAGAAGAGATACCCAAGTACGGCTCGGACTTGCCGCTGAGCTGGCAGGGTGCGGTGAGAGCCAGTCGTTCCTTCCTCTTCAAAAGCAGGCTGCTAGTTTGACTTTCACTGCTCCCACCTGCTACTTTAAAGAAAGATTTAGCATCTTCATTTCTTTTAGACCCTGTGGGGTTGTACAACAGCAAAGGTCACCCACAGCTGGATCCCCGAGTGGGAGCCTGGTACATCTGCTGGTAGGGCAAGGCTTGGCATAAAACCCCAAAACTCTGCCTTTGGGATGTGCGGGGGCCTAAAAGAGAAGATCAGCGTGCCAGAAAACAAGAGGAGCTCCTGAGTATTTTCAACGCTCCTGCAGGCATCAGTTCTGAAAAACAGAGAGCGGAACTGCATAAAATAGAGCTTGTGCTCATTACTGATGGCTGTTAGTACCCTCTTTTAATACTGAAGTAGGGGCTGGTATTCAAAGCCCTGTTGTTTGACTTGCTTCAGCAAGCTTCCTTGCTTTTTACTTTGGAGTAGGGCCTTTTTTTCCTTGGCTGCTTCTATTGTGGATAGTGAGCTTCAGAGTTCAAATAGCCAAGCTCAATACTTCTGAAATCTGCAACACTCAACAGGAGACAGTTCCAGAAGGAAATATACCCTCATTCCTGGCAGTACCAGTGGCAATTCCAAGAGACCATGAGCAAACGTAATGAAGTGGCATGGGGGTTAATGAGGAGTGACAGGTAGTGGAACGATGGACAGAGGCCATAGGTTGCTTATATACAGATGGTTCTGCTCAGGTGGTCTGAGCAGTTCAGGCCTTGGAAAACAGCCAGACAGAAAAGCAAAGGCATCAAGAATTGGCACCAAGTCTTAGAGACTACAGAACTGGGGAGAGCCAGGGCAAGAAAACCAGCCTGGATGCCAGAGGAGAGTAATAAAAGAGCATATTTAGATGGGAGAGCAGCCTCTTACAGTTGTGGGGTTGGATGCAGAAGAAAGCATTGTGTGCAAAGGACAGTTTTGCATGGGGGAAGAAGAAGGGTCCTTGGGGAGCTTCAGTATAAGCTTTGAGAATGCTCAAGAACAGGGACAGGTTAGAGGCAGAATATTTCTTACTGTGAGTTGGCAATATTTACTTGTTTAGGATAGATTGCGGGGTTTACAAGCAAGGAAAACATGTATGTGCAGGGAAATTCTGGTGCATCTGGGCTAACGTGGGGAAGAGAAAGGAGCTGCTGTGTATGGGCATGCACATGCTTCAGTGGTTGCCACCCAAATGCTCAACATATTCTGGAAAGCTCCAGAGCTGCCATAAAAAACAATAGAAAATGTTTCTATAAATACATTATCAACAAAAGGAGGGCTAAGGAGAATCTCCATCCCTTATTAGATGCAAGAGGAAACGTAGTGACAAAGGATGAGGAAAATGCCACCTTTGCCTCAGGCTTTAATAGTAAGACCAGTTGTCCTCTGGGTTCCCAGCCCCCACGAGCTAGAAGACAGGGATGAGGAGCAGAACAAAGCCCCCATAATCCAAGGGGAAATGGCTAGCAACCTGCTATACCACCTAGACACACACAGGTCTCTGGCACCAGATGGGATGCATCCAAGGGCACTGAGGAAAGCAGCTGAAGTGCTCACCAAGCCACTGCCCATCACCTATCAGCAGCCCTGGCTACCTGGGGAGGTCCCAGTTGACTGGAAGTTAGCAAATGTGACACCCACCTACAGGAAGGGCTGGAAGAAGGGTCCAGGGAACTACAGGCCTGTTAGTCTGAACTCAGTGACAGGACAAGAGGGAACAGCCTCAAGTTGCACCAGGGGAGGTTTAGATTGGATATTAGGAAAAATTTCTTCATGGGTTATTCAGCATTGGAAGGGGCTGCCCAGGGAGGTGGTTTAATCACCTAATTAATGCGTAGATGTGGTGCTTAGGGACATAGTTTCGTGGTGGAGTTGGCAGTACTAGGCAAACTGTTGGACTTGATATCTTAAAGGTCTTTTCCATCCTAACCATTTCTACAGTTCTTTGAATTATCCAGAACTGTGAAAATCATTATGACCACCACTGGCAAGCTGTCTTCAGAAATGGAAAGTATGTTTCAGGATTTTATGAAACAAGAGCTTTAAAACCATTTGGTAGTCAGATGAAGCCCAAATTGATCTGAGCACTTACTGATATAATTCTTCTGGCAGAAGAATTAGGAGGAGGAGATGGGTGAGGGAGTACCTGTGTTCTGTCAATTTGTCTGTTTGTGACAGGCTGACAGATGGATAGAGGAGTAGAAGGCAGAGGCAAGTGAAAAGAGAAGTAGATAACCACACACGTGGACAAGAAGAGTGTTTTGGATGAGGGAGATGCTTGGAAAGAGAAGGGGGAGTGAAAAAGCATTCAGATGCTGAAACAGAGCCTTCCATGACTGAAGTACAGAGGCAGTAAAGGCAAAGCTAACAAACATAATTTTACCTTCAAAAAGAGGAAAGCAAACAAATAAATCAAGAAAATGCTTAAGGAACGAGCTAAGTGGCCTGGCAGGCAGTTGCAGAGCCTGTCAGGTCTGGGTCAGCAGCTCTGGAGTCCCAGCGCTGTTGTGAGCAGGAAAACTGAGAGGGATCCAGTATCAACTGAAACACTCGTTAGCGTTGCTCTATGAGGTCTTAGCAAATAAGACAAAATAACAATGCATGGGGAGATCAAGCATCTGCTTGATCTCCCCTCTAAGGAAGTGAGCCGTTGTCACCAAGGCTGAAGATGACTGCAGAAGTTTGCCTTGCCCTCAATCCGGTAGCTAGATGCCTTCTGCTCCCTCTAATTGCTGACCTATGTTTCAGCAACATCCGCTTCACGTATTGATGGACACATAGCACCTATGCCAAGCAGCCCTTCCACTTTTGCCAATTAACAATTTATTCTTCCAGGGCAATGGGCAGACAAACGCTGGAAGGGTGAGACGAACCTTTGGCGGCGTTGGAAGAAACTTGGCAGGTGCCTAGTGTTCGGGTTTGCCCGTGGGCGCACACCAGCTGCGATTTGTCCTTCGGTATTCCTTCAACAGCAGGAGCTCTTGAGGGCTCTTAAGATCTGGGACACGTTAGGTAACATACCAGTGGGCAGACTGCCTGGAAAAGGTAGAGGCCATTCCAAGAAATAAGAGGGGAGGGAGTTGGGGTCAGGAATACGGAGATCCACAAATATGAAGTTAACTAGTATATAGCACAGCGTCCCCAAATCAAAGTTAAATAAGCCTCGGTGATCTCCTATGGCTGCTGAACAGCCAGCCTGCCCCTCGATGTTGAATTAATGCCAGGTTACAGTGGCAACAGGAGGATGTCTTCAGCGAATTTGAAAGGAATAGGCTTATACAAAGATGGTCATCCATGCACCACAGACAAGAGGAACCAGCTACAACAAGGAAGGGGTTATGCTGTGCCTGGTGCTCCCCCACAAGCAGCAGCAGATCAGCATTTGGGTACTGAAATTAGCAGGGGCAGTTTACAAAGAGATTTTAGGATTATTCCAGCTTTTTGACCTTTCCCAAATCTCCCTAACCCAAATCTACTGCCACTTCAGATCGCAAATCGGGAAGCTTGAGGGGAAAACCAAAGCACCACCCATGCCACCCATTGAGGTATAGTTTGTGGTTAGTTGAAGGGAGAGGAGGAAGGGTTTCCCGTGAATCCGTACAGATTCAGTGGTGCTGGTAAGACAGCGTGGTGGGAACAGCAGTGTGGGAAGGCCGGCAGCAGGAAAGGCCGTGCACAGAAGCAACGTGGGAAAGCCCATATGCCTGTGATTGTAAAGGAGAGGATGCCAGGGAAGTGCAAATTCCCTGGGGGAAGAAGTTTCTTCCCCCATCTTCTCTTTTCCTCCACTCCCAGATGTTCAAACAAAACCTAGAGATTCAGAGAGCGGGTGCAGCTGTAGGTCACCCCACTCAACCCCAAGCAGTCATTTGCAGCAGCTGTGGCTGAGTTTCATCTTGAACATCCTTCTAGACAAGGACTGCTGGGCATTAAGTTTTCCAGGAGAGGGCTTTCCTACAGACAGTCATCCTGCACAGGCTGTCACTGCGTTCACAGTACTTTGATGGATTCATTAACATCTTTTGTTTCCATTTGCTTTTAGACTGTTTAAGCCGTCTGGGACAGACTCCTCTTTTTCTGTCAGCCGTGGGGAAAGATGAACATTCAGAGTCCATCCTGCACTACTGTCGCCACATGGTACGTTGCACAGTAACCTAAGTCATGCGTTACACAGAGGGAAAGTTTTCTCAACCTTGGCAGACACAGGAGCCACCTTCTATGAGGCTAAGAGGAGGAATAATTTATCAATCATTTCATTACAATTAGAAGGCAAGGCACCATCCCCCAAAATGCTGGCTAGGTGTATGTACCACCAGGAGTCTGAACCCTGGGGTTTGAATTCAGCTCCACAGAGTGGTGCTTGAAGGAGAGAGAGAGGTGAATCAGGAGGAACCATGAAAAATTCTAGGAAGGCCTAAGCACAGCCAGAAATATGCAAAACCTGACTCTGAGAATAGACAAAGCAATGCCAGAATCAGCCTGGTTTGGGTAAATCATCAGAGAAAACCTGGAACTGGAAGCCCAGGCTGGACCCCTCCCAAGTGCAGAGTAGAGTCCTCTGCATACCCTACCTGCGCACCAGAGGAATACCTGACCACAGCAGCAGCTTGTCCACCAAGGTCAGGGAGCCAGGAGCAGCAGGCATTCACCCCCCCAGGCCGGGG